CACCTGCCTAGAGATGGCGCTGTCCACAGTGGGCTGGACCCTACGAAGTCAATCAGCATTCAAGAAACTATCCAGCAGACATACCCATGGGCCAATTCAATTGAGAGGACTTCTTCTGAGGTCTAAGTTTGTACAACATTGACAAAAACTAACCCTAACTACGACAACATCCAGTGTGTCAACTTCTGACCCCCACGTGTGCATGCACTAGGGCAAACACGCACACACACACACACACACACAATTGCAAAGAAGTTGCAGAGCTTGGCTCATCTTAACCCTCTTCCCTACTTCATATCCAGAGAAAATCTAGAGACCTATTAATCATACTACTGTGTTTTATCCATTGACAGACAGACAGACAGACAAGCAATAATTTGTTCATTGCCATAGCATTGGTTACCTGAAAAGGTCTAGCACAAAACAGCGATCCATAAATATTTGTTGGTGAGCAGATAGAACATACCACATCCCACGCAGTACTAGTTATTGAGAGATCCTGGAGAAAGAGAGATGTTTCTTGGCACAGAGTGCTCCACGGAGTGGCACCCAGGTTGGCCTTTAGTGTGTATCAAACAGGGATAAAAGGATGCTTGGAACAGAGAGGTTAAGCCTCTTGCTGGAGTAGGTGGCAGGCAGTTAATATCACCACCAACTCATCAATAGCTAGTTTACGCCAAGGACTTTCCTAGCCTGCATCCCTCACTCCTGTGTTCTGAATCATAGAAGTAAACAACGTCCTCCAGCGGGTACATGGTGGGCGTGAGGGTGAGCCTGGAACACTGATCGCTCTTCTAAAGGACCCAGGTTTCCTTTCCATCGCCCATGTTGGGGCTCACCACCATCTGTAACTCCAGTTCCAGGGGGATCTGATGCCCTCTTCTGGGCTTGATGGGCACTGCATGCTCATACTGGACATACATACATACATACATACATACAGGCGGGCAAAGTACTCATAAAACAAAAATGAATGAATCTTAAAGAAAAATATTTAAAGAGGCTCAGTGATGATAGATAATTTGTTCTCCTTGAAAGAAGGGCTTGTAGAAGAACATTCACAATAGCTTTATTTACAATTTCCCCAGACTGGAAACAAACCCAGATGCCCATCAGCAGGTAAACCAACTGCATTGTATTTACACAATGCAATATCACTCAATAACGAAGTGGAACAAAACACACACACACACACACACACACTCAACTGATGAATGTGAAAAGCAGATTAAGCTAAAAAAAAAAAAAAGCCATACTGTAAATGCCCATGCCGCATATGACATGCTGGGACTCAAATAGAGTTCACAGTCCTAAAATGAACAGGGGAAAAAAAAACCTGTGGGGAACAGAAATCAGGTAAGAGGTTGCCTCTGGGGCAAAGAAGGGGGATTCACTAGGAAGGGAACAAAGGCTTTTCTGGGGGTAATGGAAATATTCTTTATCTAGACTAGATTAGTGGGTTCATGGGTGTTTATATCTGACAAAGCTCATTTGCATTTTATTCTGTTAGGTCATACTCTGTATCAACAGAGAGCTAGAAAGTCTAGAGGTGACGTAGCAGATAAAGGGACCTGTTGCCAAACCTAACAACCTTGTACAGCTAGGACACACGCAGTGGAAAGGAGAAAGCCTCGGATTGATCTCTGACTTTAACGCCTGCACATACATGCATCTTAATTTTTTAAAGGAGCTAGAAATCATCTACTTTAGTTCATAAAGCCACATATGGAGCTATGAAGCCAGGTTCGCCCTATCCCAGTGACCTCTTGGTACCAGTCTGCCTGAGCTGAGTTAGGAGCTCCCAGCCTTCCAGAATCTGAATGGAACAAATTCAATCCTCTGTGGATGGAACATAGATTTCCCAGGCCCAAAACCATGTCAGAGAGAGACTCACAAGGAGGCCAGACTACTGCCCTGCTGTGAATTGAGAAACTTAGATTCAACCTCATCTCTGCCTTTCCCCCGCTCCATAGCCCACGGGGATGCTGCCCCATGATTGTTTTGCCTTCTGTGAAGCAAAAAGATCAATAGTTCCCTTACACGGGATCCCAGATCCCCCATGCCAGAAGCCAGGAGCCCTTGTGTTTACCAAATACTGTTACTACATTTTTAAAAAAATGACGTGGTGCTTGCTTTACACCTAGGAAACAATTCTTCTAATGCTAATGTTACTGTAATTAATAAATTACACGAGTATTTTGAAGCTAAAATGAAGCCACACCGGCTTCTTATCATTGTGTGTCTTCTCGAACAAAACCCAGCAGAAGAACAGCTAGCGCTTATGACTTTGATTTAAAGAGGCTGGGATTCTCTATGTGGAGGATTGCTAAGGGACAGTCACCAAGGGGATGGTCGCCAAGGGGACCGTCGCCAAGGGCCCTTCCAGGTCAACTGCCCCACGGTTGTCTAACATCGTTTGGGCAAAGGCTTGAGAGACAAGCCTCTTGTCCTGGCTCCAGGAACAGAGCCCCCAGTGTGTGGGCTGTGTCCCAGCTCTATAACCTATTTTACAGCAACTCCCAACACAGGCACACGCGCACACACACTGCCCCAGAGTGGCGATTACACCTTAGGTCTCCTACTCTGATAGTGAGCCACCGCAAGAGACCTTGAAGCCTGGACATTTTCTTTTCCACAATTATCAGTTTCTGGTGTCAGAAAGAAAACTTGGAGTTCCTGGTCACACTGAACCTCAAGAACCACCACGGAAGGCCACAGCACACTGGGGAATCTGCCAACAGGATTCTGGATTCAGGCTGAGCCAGGTGCCCCATCACCCCAGCCTGAAGAACTGAACCGCAGGTCTCACATCTAAGCTCATGCTTGGCGCCTTCCTTTCAAGCATTCTGGTGGCATTCTCTACCCCACTATGCTCAAAACTTCCTCAGCTACAGGCCAGGATCCTAGAGCACAGATAGAAACCAAAATCTCCACCCTCTACTTCTGCGCCCTTCCCAGCAGGTTGCAAACCTCGGAGGTTCTGGTGCTGAGTCAGAGGTTTCTAGAGCTTCCGAATAAAGCGGCGGCCGGGGGTGGGGGGCTGGGGGACTGGGGGGGAATCGGCAGAGTCCTGATTCCCAAAGGTGGCAGCGGGACACAGTCTGGCCCCACTCTGGTGGGGTTTGCAGATACATCACTTCCAAAAGACCTCTTCCAGCTACACTACCCCGCCCCCAGCCTGAGTACCCAGACTTTAAGGCATAAATCCCCAATTTCCACCGCGGCCTCCAAACCAGAGGGTGAACCCCGTTTTGCCCATTCGATATTTTAAACAAAGCCAAGGGCAGAAGACGACCTACGGCCCCATCCTTCGGCTTCTTGTAAAACTCCACTTGCTGTTTTTAATCCATTTTCCCACCATCAACACTGGAAGCGGCTCCGGAACCCGCCTTCTCTCTAAGGCACCATCCCCCCTCTCAGGCTTCCAACTTTGCGGATCAGCGCACAAAAGATAATCTGCTTTCCCCTCCGAGAGATGCGCGCCGCCCACCTCCGCCCCAGGACGCCCCCGCCTGCGTAGCCCGCACCGCCCGGACCAGGGCGAACTGCAGAGGGCTCCCGGCGGCAGCTGCTCCCTTAGGGCCTGAGGATGCACTTGCAGAGGCCCAGCCCCGGAGGCCCAGTGATGGCCGGACGCTCGGCTCCCTCTGTATCCCGGCAACATCCCCGCAGCCAAAGGCTGGGCGGACAGCCTTTAGGGAAGGGGACAGACCCCCAGAGGGTCATGGATCCAGCCACCCGACGCGCACTCACCACGCAGCGCCACGGAGCCCGCGCGTCTACGTCCCGACCGCCCGGAGACCCACGCGCGCTGTTCAATCCGGGCTCCGAGTGACGAAAAGCCGCGCTCGGCTCCAGCCTGACCCCGACCGACGCACAGACCCGGGGACGCACCGACCGTCTGGCGTCCGAACTAAGTTTCAAAGTTCCCTTCCCTGCGAGGGCAGGGGACTCAGACAGCGCCGCTGCCCCTGACCGTGCCCGCTGGGCTCAAAGAGGAGCTGGGATCCGACGCCTCCAGTCCCGGGATCCAGGCACAGCCTCCCGTAGGCGCTGCGCTGCGTGGCCCTGGCTGGAGTTGAGGACAGAGAGCCTAGAAAAATGGTGGGGACGGGGAGCAACAGTATACCTCCTCGCTGCAGCCCCAGCCTGGAGGGACGCTAGCTCCCCGATCCGGGAAAGGGACAGGCCTTGATTGGACGACACCTGCATAGAATCCGAGGCGCCAAGGGGTAGTGACGGCCAATTAGTAAACGGCCCAATTAATGCTCAGCAGCTCAGTTAAAACCCCGACGCGAGTATGGACGACCAAGGGGTGGGGGCGAGCAGTGGAGGGTGCTGGAGCCAGTGACTGTCCCTGGGTGTGTCCAGGTGTGACTGGGTGGCCGTCAGGGCGATTTGTAGCTGAGGCTTCTCGTCCAGGGGATGGATCTGTGTGCCCGACCGTGTGCACTTGTGGGTCATTATGAGTCTGAGCTGTGACTGTCGGAGCTACTTCTTTGTGTGACTGTCCCCCGTTGTCACTGGATGTGACAGCAGATGGGAACATGTGTAGCAGCGTTGTGTATGAGTGTAGATGGATGAGGTGACTTGTATGTTAGCGTAGCCCTGTACGTGGGCGACAAGCTGCATGTGGTTGAGGATAAATGACTGGCACCGTGACTTATGTGGGACGGTGAAGGCTGTGTGTGGTGCCGCCTGGCTGGGTGACAGAGAGTCGCTGAGCGTCGGCTTGTGAATGAATGCGAAGCGTGGGTGAGTGTGTCACTGTGTCGTCTTACGGGAAGCTGTCGGGCTGACTTCTGCCCGTGATCTACAACTCCGGGCGTGTGTGTGACCGCGAGGGTAGCGGTGTGAGTGGCACGTGCCCGTCGTCCGGGCTGTTGTGTGCGTGTCCCTGTGTGAGCCCCCAGAGTGCCTACGTCCGCAGCCACGAGATGACTCCTGCCCCCACTCTCCAGCCCGGGACACTCGGGCCCCCATCCTACCTTGCCGCCTACCTTGCCGCAGTGGTAGTAATCCAGGTGTGCCAGGCCGGCCGGCTCGGCCCCGGGCCGCGCACCTACCGCGGGCGCCGAGGGATACAGGCGGACGTCCATGGCGGGCGCGGCGGCGGCGGCGGCGGCTCCCGCGGGCAGTGCCTGGGCGGGCAGCCGTGGGAGCCCTATGCGAGCCCGTGTGCGAGCGCGGGGGGCGGGCCGGGGGCGGCGCCCGGAGGGGAGCTACGCCCTCCCGCCACGCCCTCCCCCGCCCCGCCCGCAAGCGCTATTGTTCCGGCCTCGGGAGCCGCCGAGGGCAAGGGGGCCCCCTGGTCGCCCTGGTCTCCGCCCAGCCCTCCGCCCCTAGAGTTAGTTGCCAGTCCAAGTGGACCTTTCCTGTCCCGCCTTTTGTCACCAAGTGCGAAAGGAAAGAGAGAAATCTCTAGGCCACCCCTGTCTAGAAATGGGACATTCCCAGTCCTAAATATTGGGGACAGTGTCAATCCCCACCCTGCTTGCAGGACAAGTAGAAGTGGTTGAAGGACCACCCATCTGGAGATGGTACTATCTAACCTGTCGGACTGAGCCCCTTGCCTTACATGGGTCTTAGAATAGTCCTCCCCCTCAACACACACACACACACACACACACACACACACACACACACCGTAAGCTGATCAGAGATATTCAGAGAGAGACGGGGGAACCAAAGTGCATAAAGGTCAATTTTATATATGAGGAAATCGAGGCATCTGAAGGAGAGCATCTAGAACTGAAAGCACTTAGATGGAGACTGTGGAAAGTCCCGCCCCCTCAGGTAAGGACAGGAAGGCTCAGAAGACTGATACACTTAGCCTTCATCCAAAGTTTTCTGGACCCCGGAGAAGCAGTGTCAATCTGCCCCGTGCCGTCCATCCGTGACAGCACCCTTATTCCTCAGACACTTGCTAGCTGAAAGAACGATCGGGGTCTGCCTTCTGCTTCTTTATTTCACTCACACCCCACACACACCCACCTCTCACCCCCATCCAGTTCCTGAGTTCCTGGTTCTGCAATACTTTCCAGGCCTGTCTGGAAAGACAACTGGAGAAAAGAGTTTGGGCCTCTTCCCCACTTAGGAGAAAGCTTGAAACTAACTCAGGCTTCCTACTGTTTCCTGGACTTTGGTCCTGGCCAGGAGCAAGGACCTCAGCAACCGTGAAATCCAGGCACCTCAAGATCGGTGGGAACTGGTCTTCCAGCGAAGGTTAGAGAACAACAGAGGGAAATCACAACCCAGAAAGGAAAGAGCTTCTAAATAAACTTCAGTCATTGTTTCTAGAAACACCAGGCTCAGCCTTATCAAAAAGGAATTTCCCACAAGCCTCTCTCCTTTTTTCCCTCTCCCTCTCCCTCTCCCTCTCCCTCTCCCTCTCCCTCTCCCTCTCCCTCT